AAAAAGCAGGAAAGATCATTAGCTTGGAGAAGAGGAGCTATTTCTCTACAAAAAGTTTTCAAATTCTTTGTTCCCACACTCAGGGTTCACAGTGTTGCACAGCTCCAGGGGTTGCCATTCACACATTGGACAGACACAGATTGCAATGGGAAGGGAGCTCCTTGGAGTTGTACAACACAAAGCCTTACACCCCATATCTAATGTCAGAGCAGCCAAAAAGGATGAGTGAGCTGGCACACTGCAGGTGGTGACCCCAGCTACTCTCTCTCGAGTCAGGTTCTGTCTAAGGGGCTCAGATTTGTGGGGGCAGTCTTCAAGGGGGATGGTAGTGGTGGTGATTGGAGTAGTTGGGGGGCTTGTGTGGGAAGGAGGGAGAAAGGGGATTAACACTGAGAAATGATCTAGAATATATAGACTTAGGGGTGGGGCCCAGGCTTGGGGAAGGGACTCTTCTATTTGAGGGCTTTATCTAGAATTTCATTGGCTGTGGAAGCCTGAGCCTAAATTAGCCTCTTACTTCCTGGGACCACAAGAGGAGATTTGGGTTTCATTAGAGAGGCCAAGTGGCAAGCAATTCAGTGACTTGTGACAGCTGCCTCTTCACCCTTCCCCTAAGACTCAAGGTCTGTTCTTTCCCTTTATTGAGGGTCTGATTACCAGGTGAGTTCAAGAAGCTTGGCAGAGCTCAGTGAGAGAGGCAAGTTGGACTGATGATGACAGGAGGGGGTGACTTCTCTGCGAGGATTCCTGCTGTACCACTACCACCCCCCATTCAAGCTGGGAACAACTTGTCCCCAGGGAGGGCTGCACACAGAGTCTATGTGCACAACTGTTCTAGCTGGCTACTGGGGAAGGGGCAGGGCAGACAGAAATACAACCCACATTTCCAAGGCTGCTTCTCCCTTCCCAGGCCCTGGATGTCTCCTTAAGGTTGTGCTGCATCCTCAGGAGCCCTCCTGGGATGTAGATCTCCATTAGAACTGGTGCCTGGACCTAGGGCATGAGCTTTGCCCTTTGCTTAGGTTTGGTCATGCAGAAAGCGGAGGTCTCCCAGCTCCTACCTTCTTCCTAATCAAAGGTGAGGCCGAGCAGAGGAATGAGTGCAATTCCTAGACAGGTCACATGGTGGCATGGTATCTGTACTGCTTCCCTCTTCCCCACCACTACCCCTCCCATCCCTCTACCCCAGAGAGAAACATTTCTTAGCTGAGAGAATATTGGGGATTCCAGAAGATGCCTGGTGAATCTGGGAATTGGCAAGTCTAGTAGGTGAGGAGGGAAAAACGGAAGGAACTAGTGGCATGGAGAATAAGAAGAGGGGGTTGGGAGGACTGGGGTGTACAGAGGACAGAGCCATGGAACATAAAGCAAGGAGGAGGAAAGGAAAAGAACATTCTTTTGAGCACCTGCTTTGTATCAGGTACAGTATATATCATTAGCCCATCTAATTTTGAGACTAGAACAGGGGGAGTGAGGAGGAGAATGTGGAAGAAAGGTGGATGCCACTGGGGAGGAAGGACAGTTCCTCCTGGAAAGGAGAGTCCTCAGCTGTGACAATGTCTCTTAATATAACCTGACAGGTGCTTGTGGCTGGCGGGTGGCAGGCGGCCCTGAGGGGCAGGCCCAGAATTAGCAGCTACATCATGCCCGTGGGATGTGCTGGGAGGAGCCGCCCTCTCAGAGGCTTTATTTGGACCTTTCCTGACACCCTGTGCGTGGCCACCAGCTACCCCAGGATGGGGCAAGGTGCCAGCAGCAGTTCCCCTTCCACTCTTGCTTGGATGCCTGCCACTTCCTCAGGGAGTCGAAACTCTGCTTCTGTTCTGCTGGCCTGAAGTGGGCAGGAAGTGGGCAGGGAAGGGGACAACCATCTCTAGCTCAGAGCTCCAGTGGTTAATTCCCCGGCTGCTTAAGGGCCAAACTTTTATGCTGATGACTGTAAATGCGCTGTCCTCAGAGAGCCACACACTCCCTTTCCTAACCTTCCCCATCAGCCAATGAAGAAGCGGGGACTTCAGGCAGGACTAATAAGGCTGGGAGGGAAAGAAGGGTGGGGAAGGGCTCTGGCTCTAGGTTTTCTAAGGCCTTAACTTGAGGAGGGAGAGGGGCAGAAAGAGGCAGGGAGAGCTGTGGTGAGCTGAGGCTGGGTAGTGGGTGGTCTCTTCTTTCCTCTGGATGTCAGTGCTGGGAACACTTGCCTCCCTCACCTCCTTCTCAGTCTCCAGTTCCCTGCTTTGAGAACTGGGTCACCCAGGACCCCAGACAAGGACAGGTGTCCAGTATCAGGCTGGAGCACTGCCCTCTTACCTTCCTCCCCATACTGATCATACAGGCCCCGTTTCTTAGGGTCACTCAGCACATCATAGGCCTCTGCGATCTCCTTAAACTTCTCCTCAGCGTTGGGTTCTTTGTTCTTATCTGGGTGGTACTTCAAGGCCATCTTCCGATAGGCTTTCTTGATCTCATCCTCATTGGCTCCCGACGGGATCCCAAGAATCTTGTAGTAATCCTTTCCCATCACAGCCACTGGACCGGCACTGGTGTCCTTGTTTCTGAAAGAAACCAGGGCCGATCCTTGATGCCTCTGTTCCCTTCTACCCCGGTCCTGTTCCTGATGATCCTGCAACCCCTAAATGACTCACTGTGTAACTTTCAGCAGGTCATGCCTGTTCTGTGGGCCTCTGTCTCCCCATCAGTAAAATGAAAGGGTTGGATTAGATGATCTCTTCCAGCTCTGACATTCTAGGATTCTGTGATTCTTTCCTTAGCTCCTGGGTTTTCCCAACAGGAAGCTGGGGGCTGTGGCCCACTTTTTGGGGCTATTCTAAGGCCCAGGTCCTTGGGCCAGACTGAGGACTCCCACGAGCCCTGCTGAGTGAGGTGGCACCATGGACTGACAGACCCACGCACAGAAGCTGGTGAAGATCAGCGTACTGGGTGAGGTCACCTGAGCATCGTGGTCTCCTGTGCCATGCTTCAGGCATAGTGCCCAGGCTAAGGGCAGCTGGGGCAGTGGCCCAGGGCTGGGAACAGGCCTGGGTCTTCAGCCAGCTGCCTTGGCCAGCCAGGCTGAGTCAGGGTGTGTGTACCTGAATTCCTCTCAGCCACTGGAGACCCCAGGCCTCCCTGCCCCCGCTCCCCAGGCTGTGCTAAGCCTCACGTGTGATTCAGATTAGAGGATGACTCACAGCCTTTGGTTACTGCTGTTTCTAACCCTCTCATTAGCGGGGCGGGGTGACACCGTCCTTCCCCCAACCAGGGCAACAGTTCCCTTTAGTCATTTCCCGGTGTCTACACACAAAACTGTGTGTGAAGACATGTCTGTGCCACCTAAGCATCAGTGTTAGTGAACAAAAGCATCCTGGAGGTAGGGCTTTTAAACCTTAGTTGTTAGGAGACAATTGGGCACTAACCACCAGTTCCTTAGTACCTTCTCTACCAGTCCCTCCCTCTCACCTGCCTCATGGTTTAGGATCTGGCCCAGTGCCAGGTCCACACTCCTCTGATAGTCCCTGACTTGCTGGGTGCAGGGGCATTTGTTATTTATATGAGGGAGAAACACAGGACTCTCATTCTTTCACTCTAATCTCCCTCCATCAATGTCTCTGTGGTGGATAGAGGGAAAGGCACTTTCCTGTAGCTAGAGCTAGTAGGGGGAATGGCCAGAAGCCATTCTCTAACCCATCTGAGACTTGGCCAACCCCTGCCAAAGCCCAGAGAACCGGAGTCTTTCTAGCAATGTCATGGGCTGGCAGCCACAGCTAACGCCTGCCTTTTTTGCCTCTGACTGCTTCAGAGAGATTACAGGGTGTCCTGGCAGGAGTGAGGGCTGTAATGGGTTAGGGGAGGCCTCAAGGCCCCAGGTAGACAGGGACAACAGCCCTAACTCCTGCCCCCACAGGGCCTGTTACAGGTAGCTGGGTTGACTCATGGTTCTGGGAGTCACCTCACTCTGACGAAGAGCAGGCTCCATTAGGGCGGGCACTCCCCCTTTTCCCCTACCAGCGTGTCATGCCTGGTGGGGGAGCCTGTGGCTGGGGAGGCAGAGAAGAAAGGGCATCTGGGGGAGGGCAGCCATTTTCGGAAGCAGCAGTAAAAGCTGTCTGAGAGGGAGTTGGGGGTGGTCTGCCGCCATCTCTGCCTCAGCCCACACCTTCTTTCCCCCGAAACTGGGAAGGAACCCTAGCACACCAAGAGGGTGCCCCCAGAGAACTGTAGCAGCTTTTAGGCTGAGGGCGAGTGGAATGCCTTGCCAGTGCTTTCAACCCTCCGCTCACTGTCCCTGCATTACCTCTTCATCCGGCCAGCTTCCTCCCTTGCACCCCTGTGCTAGCTGTTCTAGACCTCTAATTGTCTTGCCTCTACAGACATAGGGCAAGCTCTTTCAGGAGTTGCCTTTTTTCCTCCTTCTTTCCTCCCTCCCTCCCCTACCCACAAGCCACGTGTTGGAATGACAAAGGAGCCCCATGGCATGGCACTGCCTTTGATGGAGAGAATGAAGAGGATGTTAATGTAGAGGCAGGACTAAAAAATAAGAAATGGCAAGGGGGACTGGTACAGGGAGGGGGGATGGTTGATACAGAAAATGAAGTACTGATGGAGGGGGATGAAGGATGACAAATGGAAATGTCTGAAGTGGCAAATGGGTTACCAATGGGATGTAGAGAGTTGAAATACTAGAGGAGGTGTTTGTGGAAAACGGATGCCTGAAGGGTTTGGTATAAGATGAATGACAAGGGGTGCAGTTCATTCAAATGTAAGGGTGGGACAGAAGGGGGGTTCTTATACGTAACTGGGGATGAGACGAGGATGAGATGGAGGAAGCGGGTAGGCAATGGAGGGGGATATGACATGGAGAATTTGACTCGGTATGGGTATGAGTGCCCTTCTCCAGAGGGACTTACCGAAACTTTACAAACCCATTCAGCGTCCACGCTCGAAGTTTTAAGGGCTCCAGCTGAATTTTAAACATCAAGCTGGCTAAGAAGTCTTCTCCCCAGAAGTGTGGGAAGCTCCGGAAAGCGCCTCGGGCCTGTAGTGGGGGTGCTGCTGGGGATGGGCAGGAGAGCACTGTGCGCTTAAACATGCCCAGCCCAGCCCCTCACCTCTGATCGCTCCACTGGAGCCTGCTTGGAGAGCTGCAGCTCTGGAAGCCGCCTCCTCAGGTTCTCAGAGGCACTTGCCCAGCAAGGCCTGTCCGGTGCAGCAGGAGCTGGACCTGATCCTCAGGTGTGGAGAGTGAAGGAATAGGGTCCAGCGGTCACCTGCTCTCAGGTGCAGCGATGTCTGGCTGATTGTGAATGGCTGTATGGCTGTGTGACAGTAAGGCTGGCAGTGCGAAGAGTGTGTGCTTGTGAGTGGCAGCGTCTACCTCTGACAGGTGTGATTGTCTGTGAGGGCCTGAGAGGCAGCGTGTTCTTCTCGCCTCTCTCCCCGGGGAGGACCAGACCCCAATCCCCAAGAATCTACTCAATGAAGTCACTGACAGGCAGTCTCCTCCCTCGCAGATGGGCGGGGCGGGGCGGGGCAGAGCTCCGCTGGGACAAAAGGCGCGGCGAGGAGAGGAGGGGAGGAGAGGGGAGGGGGCTCCGGCGGGGGAGGGTGGTCGGTGATGTCACCGGCGCTGGCTGACTGGGCTGGCTCAGAAACACCGCCCCGGAACCCAGTGCGACCCGGCCCGACCCTCCCCCGGCTCAGAGGCGGGCTGCCGCCTGTAAGAGGGTCGCGGACATCGAGCACCTTGCAGACCCTGAACCTCCACACCCCCGCGGTGGAAGAGCCGAAGGGCCCTCAGTGTCCCGACATCCCGACACCAGGACCCCTGGCTTCGCGACGCGCGACGCCCCCCTCCCGGGACCCTCGAGTCCTGGCTCGGCGCCCTCACCAGTGAGGAGCTGCGGGCGCCGCCGCGGTCCGTCAGACAGGCGCTGCCCCCTCCCCCGGCTCTGGCTCCGCCGCCTCCACTCGGGACAGGAGTCGCCCGCCCGCCGGCGGCGGCCAGCGGGCCCGGGAACCCGCCCCCACAGCTCCGCCTCCGCGTTGCCCATTGCGCCGTCTGCCCGTCACTCAGCTCAGCCTCTGCTGTAATTGGACAGCTTTCAACGAGTGGCTCTGTGGTAGCCGCCCATTCTCCGCCCCTGTCACCCGGCCACACGCGCACACATTCCGGGCCGTGATTGGTGTAGGTCTGATTGGTGCACTTTGGGATCAATCAACCACACCTCTTCGCTACCTCGTCGTGTCATTGGTAAAAAGAACAGAGGGCGGCAACTCCATGCGCCCTTTGATTTTATTGGTTGGTCTGTGGGGCTCAGACCCCAGTCGGGGGACAACTATTTTAGTCCAATCTCCGGTTTGAGAACGTGGGACGTACTGGCCACTGCCCGAATCCCGGGAGAACCTTCTGGAACCCGTGCAACGTCAAAGGCAGCCTTAAAGGAAAACTGCGCCCACCAGTTGGCGGTGACTCTGGGCATTCTTTCCTATCTTCATTTAGGAGGGTAGGGGAGAGAACAGTGCACTCTGGGAGGTGTGGTCCCTGGACCGGGGTGAAAAGGTTACCATTCTTACCTGTCTTCCATTGAACCGTGAACTGTCCTAGCCCTGACCTGATTTAGCGTTACCTTACCGTGACCCGGAGTTGACCTGATATGACCTAACTGAATCTCAAAACAGACCCCGGTAGATGAGCATAGTTTAAGTACCCTTCTGCCCTCTCCTTTGTAACCTAGCAGTTCTCCACGGTTTTAGCACCTCCAAGATTCCCTTTATGAGTCCCCTTTTCATCCTCTGTATAATCCCCTCATCCCTGCTCCCTCAGGAGCAGCCCCTTCTCAACAATCCCCACAATCCTCATTAAAGTTCTCCCTATAATCTTTCATCCTACTTCCCTTTTGAGTTCCCACATCTTATCCCCCTTTTACTCCCCCCCATTCCTGGCCCCATATGATCTCCTGTCTTTCCCCCATGAGCTTCTGTCTTATCCTATTCTTAATCCTTATCTACTCCCATGTGCTCCCCTATCCTAGCCCCCCGCCCCTTAACCCTTCGTCTCAGCTCCACATGATCTCCTTTCTTAACACCCTCAGAATCTCCCATTTCACTACCCCCACCCCCACCCCCATTAATTCTCAGCCCCAGTGTCCCCGATGTTCAGAGCAGGCAGGGCTGCGTAGGCGGTTGCCAGCGGAAGCCGACGCTTGAGCAGACACGGTGCCTGGCGCCCACGTCACTGTCTCCCAGGCCCATCTGTGCTAGAGGGAGCGGGGGTAGGGAGGGGGTAATCCAGGGGTGAAGAGGGGGAAGGAGTTCTTGGGGGTTTTGAGGACAAAGGAAGGGCCAGAGCAGAAGCTCTCACTTCTCTTTCCTTGCAGTTTCCCTGAGGCAATGTATGGACACCCATGAGGTCATGCAAACTAGACAGAGCTGGAAACAGGCTTGGAGAGCATCAATACCTAGGCCACAGAGCAGAACAGGAGAGCAGTCTAGGGATCCTGAGGTTAAGTCTGCCTATTCTCCACTATATGCCTTCTTTCTGGTTATCACGATGGGGATCCCAGGTATAAAGGGGTGTGAGGTGTGAGGCAAGGAAAGGAAATGTGGTAAGAGGAGGCAGGGTGATGGGGATAAGGAGAGGAGGGAGGGAAGATGGGGTAAGGGAGATGGGGAGGGGAGGAGTGGTGAGGGGAGGGAGAGGGGGAGAGGAGAGAGGGAAGATGGGGTAAGGGAGTGGAGGGAGAGGAGATGGGGTGAGGGGGATAGGGAGGGGAGGGAGGGGAGATGGGATGAGTAGCAAAAGGATGGGACAGAGAGATGAGGTGAGAAGAAATGAGGAAGGGAGGGGAGTTGGGGTGATGAGGGAATGGAATAGTGTGACATGGAGATGGGAAAGGGAGGGTGAGGGGGCCCAGGAATGGTACTGGCTCCTTATATCTGAGGGCTCTCACTCCCCCGCCTCCAGATTCATGGGGGCCTGGGCTGTGGGCGGCTCTGCTTCTTCCTATGCCAGGTTTGTCTATTTTACCTCCTCCAGCCTTGCCTGTGCCAACACGGAGGCAGAGTTTAGTCACCGGCCTTTACCTGGTCCCTGCTAATGCTGAAGTGTAGGCTTAGACCTTCAAGGGTGCAGGGCTGTGCCTTCAGGTATTGGTGGCACAGATTCTGTTGTTTGCTGAGTTTTCAGTTGCTGTCCTGTGTCCCATTGCCCTGGGTATCAGGAATGTGTGAGAGGAACCAGGGGTGCCTCAGGGTGTGGCATAGGGTATGAGAATGTAGGCTCTGAAGGCAGACTGTTGACCTTGTGAGGTTACTTGCCACATTGGTGCCTCATTTCCTCCTCTGTAAAATGGGGACAGCAGTACCTCATAGGGTCGTTGAGAGGGTTAATTAAGGTAACATATGTAATGCACTTAGTTCTGAGCTCGGCCTGTAGTTAGCGCTCAAGAAAGTTAACTTATGCTATATGTTCACGGATATCTCGGTATGTGAGTGCATCTGTAAATGTTTGAGCCTGGGAATTATTTGTCTTGTTGTATCTATCATGCAATTTGTAAGTGAGTGTATCTGTGTAATTATTTTTGTGCGGTAGTGTGCCTGATTCTGTTATTTGCTGTAGGTATGTGATTTTGTGTTACTGTACATATGTGATTAAATGACTAAGTAGGCCTGTGTCTACATGACAAAGAGTGGATGAACTGTGGCTTCATGGCTGTTGATATGCTGACACCATGTCTGCCGGTGTATGCATGCATCTGTGATCATGTCAGTTCCAAACACCCCCACTCACCCTCCCTCCCTCTGGAGATGTCACAACCCTAGATGTCCCTCATTTCCTCACCCTGAGGGAACCAGAACTCGGGGGCAGGGGCGGGGGTGGGTGCCAGTGAGGAGGTGTTTAGACAGGAGCACATGTTCCCTCCCAGACTGTGTATGGGAGGGGGAGCCCTATCTTGCACGTATCCTGAAGCCTCCACAGGAAGTGCTCCCCCCCCAACTTGTTCTCAGTTCCCTGTCTTGTCACCATGGCAACAGTTGCCAGGGGCTCCCAGGGTTGCTAAGATCTGGGTGTGGGAGGCTGCCAAGCCTTGTTGCCAGTAGACACAGAGAATCCTGGGGGAAAGGAAGACTACCCCCACAGTGCCGGCTTTCTGCAGTGACAGGACTGGTCCTTGGACCTCTCCTGTCCCCAAATTGTTCCTATAATTTGTATATGGCAGTACTAGGGTTAGTGGGGGGCTTTAACAGGAAGCTGGAACTAGAATACTGAGATTCACATTCTGAGAAGAAAGGGGCACTCTAGCTTGGCTATTTCTATCTTTAAGGTTGGGAGGTCCTTGGAAATTAGTGACTTGCTTATTCTGTCCCCCATCTCTTATACTTCTTCTCTGGCAATATGTCTGCTTGAGTTCTCCAATGGCTGGTGCTTATTATCTACCTGATGTTTCCACCTGGTATAGGAATACTGCATTGACCCCATTACCCTGGATGCAGACTGACTCCTTCCTGTGGTCAGACTCTTAGCATATCACCTGGATACACACTTCATGCTGACACTTGAGCCCAGAGTTCAGTCCCACAATGAGCCCTAACTTTGGCCTCAGCCTGAGACACTGACCTTGGTGTTAGTCCTAGACCAGAAAGTTCCCTACACCCAGCCTCAGTATAAGCCCTCCTCCTAGACACAGATGAGCCCTAATCTTGATACTGATACTTGAACCATCCACAGATTCAGTTATGATCCTGTACGTTGACTGAACACTGACCAGTGATCTTACTCCCTGGTACTTGCCTCGGGTCTCCCCGACTGTTCTGAACCTACACTGACTAGTACCATAAAGGTTCAAATGGGTTTTTTCTTTGGGGTGAGAGGACAGCACTGGGAATGACCAGCAGAGGGCGTGCAACATCAGGTTCTAAAGGCATGCTTCCCAGAGCCCACCTGGAAAGGGGATTAATAGCTATATTGGGATCTTGGATCTTTTCTGTCAGGTCAGGACTCAGAGCTGGAAGCACAGCAGTTGGTTTAAGAGGTTGAACTAAAAAAAGGTTCCCAACCCAGTGATGCTGATGCTTTGGGGTCACTTGGGTCTGTATAAGCATGGATTTCCCTACAGCTCAGCAGGCCTCAGGGCTGGGGATGCACCAGAAGGTGCTTAATCATTTACTGGCATCGCAGGTCTCAAGAGGACTGGACACCTGGGAAGACATTTCACCCCCAACTCCACATTTCTGTCATATGCTCATACAGCTTCACTACCTTCCCTGGTATTCAGTTATCTTTTGGTCCTATTGAGCAGAAATCTGTCTCTCTTCCACCTTTGATCTTAGCTCTGTGCTTGAGGTCACATTGACTTCATTGGTCCCATCTACCAGACATCAGCCATCTGCATCCCTTGAGTCTGCTCCTTGACAGGGTGAACACCTCTCAGTCCTTCACGGGTTCTTCCTCTGCCTTGTATCAATTCCAGGCACTAAGACCATGTTCCCCTGGCTGGGTTTCAGTTTATGAT